GGGTGAAAGGGATAATTCGGTACATGTGTGTGGTGATGCGTTGTAATTAGTATTTGGGTGGTGAACATGATGTAATCTATGCAGAAACAGAAGTACAATGATGTACACCTGAAACTTTTACAATGTTATAAACCAATGTTACTGCAATAAACAAAAAATTAAAAAAAAAAAAAGACTAAATTCACTTATCTATTAAATAGCTTATCTTTTTAAAACAAAAATATAAGCATGAAATATTTTGAACATGCTGAAAGAACATTCCTAAGCTTATGAAGACTTCTAAAATTGATACATATTTTTAAAAATATAATATGTGTCAAACATAGAATTATGTTATAGATTTTACAGAGTTTTCTTTTCACGCATGAAATTCTTTTAGGAACATACCTCATTCATAATTTCGTGTCAAAATTTTCTATCTTCATGAAGTAAAGTTTATTCTTAGACCCTAAAGTCAGTATTTCAAATATTCTTTAGGGACATACAATTATTCTCAGTATACTTTCATAGGAATAACAAAATAATGAGTGACAGCTTCAAGGGGAACATAATTACATTTGCCCAAGGTAAAACTTTATGCTACAAGAACTAAGAATTGTCATTATAGTAAGTAATATACTCAATTAGGGAAAAAAAGTTGATTTCATAACCAATAATGCATTCAGATAAAGCAATTAAGATAAAATAATCCATGCAGGATTAATAATATGTTTAGTTTTTCAGAATATATTTAGTTTTTAAAGTAAAATTTTAGTAGCCATTGGAAAATAAGTGAACAAGAAGGAAGCCTTATCATCAAGCAAGGAACCTGATTTGTCAGCAGGGAAAAATGACAAATTAAAATTTCACTTTTCAAACAAGAAAGGATAATTATATTCCCCTGACTTACCTATACACACAGGGCCAGAGGATCTCTCTGATCATCTGGTATTAACTCCCATTCCCTCATTTTCCAGAATAGGAAAGTGCAGTCCAAACTAGTGACTGGTGGTCCCAATTGGAGTAGGTAATGCCAGAGACAGGACACAAATCCAAGTATTCCACCATACAGTACAATACTCTTTTCACAAACATTACGTCAAATGTTAAAACTTGCCATTTAAAAAAATATTCCACGTGTTTTCTAGGCAGAAATCCAGTCCACAGCACCTTGGTGCATAACTGATTTGAGCACCTGTATTGTGTCTCATGTATGCTATTGTAACAAACATACTAATTTCAAAGTGCTCACAAACATGCAGTTTTCTCTAATTTAATACACAAATACATATATATCCATAAATAATAATTTCACTGATGAAAATACCAAGAAACTAATCATATTGTGTCAGGTAGCATTTACATTCAAGTAGAATAGAAAGACGACTATTTTAGTTACTTCCTTCTGCTTTTTTCAGGCTACATAATATTTTCAACCTCCGATAGAGAAAGTATGCCATGGGCCACCTTGTGTAGAAAATACCTATTTTATATAAAATAACAAGCGTTGACTTGTTTTTTAAAAGATCTTATGTATCTTTTAGTTACAGAGGTACTGACTTCAAAACAGTAGTATGTAAAGTTCTTGTGATTTTTCTCACTATTAGGTCAGCCCAAAACTGCTCTGCTCAATCTTGCTGTGAGATAATCACAATGGGAGTTCAAAAACCATATGCAACCTTTTAACAATGGTGCAAAGAAACTGAATTATTTAAAAGCTCAAAAATAAGTGAAAATGGTAAAGTACAAAACAATCTATATACAGTATACTACCTTTCATGTAACAAAGGTAGAAAATAGGAATATGTATTTCTATTTACTTGTATTTGTATATAAATAAACTGGAAAGATACATTAATAATTAATAAAAGATACATTAATAATTAATAAAAATAGTTACCTATAGGGGTGGAGGTATGAATAAGAATAACAGGTATGGGCAGAAGCAAGACTTCTGAACATTAGCTTTTTTATGATCTTGATTTTGGAACAATGTGAATATAATATTCATTTCGAAATTTTTAATGTAAAAACATAGAGGTACAAAAAGCTGTGGAGCAGTGACAGAATACCCATAGTTAACTATGATTTAATTATAATCTTCCTGGGACAGAGGAACTCATGTATTTTAGGTGTTCTATCTTCACAGCCTAGGGCAGAGCCTAGCACAAAAACACTATACAATTATTCAATTTGAAATTACATTTTTAAAGGTTTCAGAAACAATATTACACAACCTGGATAACTTTCACACACGGGGCAAAGAGGGTGAAAGGGAAGATAAGAAAGGGGGGCAGCCTTTATTTTATGTAAATTCTTTATATTTCTTTTACTGCTGGCTACAATTTAAAAATTAAGGATAAACTGTTCTTATGCTCAGTCATCCCCTGGATAAATAATCTAGACTGCAAGCTAAAACACGGCAAGCTGCTGACACTCTTAATATTATTAAATATTTTAACAACAAATTATTAATGCCAAATTTCAATTTAAAGTACTATAGTAAAAGTAGCAATACAGGAAATGTTTAGTTCTCTCAATAACATAAAAACTGAACAACTGCAACCAGTACATTTCAGGTTCATTTGTTCTCCATATTTCTGAAATGTTTTTATCACCATTCATTTCCATCCCTGAAGCTATTTTTAATATCTACTTTTTCTTATTCATCAAATGCTACTGTGAAACTGCATCAAATCTTAAAGAAATAAGAATTGCTGCTCTATGAAAAAAAAGTTTCCTGGGCCATTAAATTACAAGGTCAAACAGAAGTCAAAAACTACAACAATCCTTGCCAGGACAAAGTTAATAATGTCTACAACCAAAGGCTTAATAGTTTCTTAACAAAGAACTTAATATTATAGCAGTGATTCTTGGGTATGATACTGTTACCCTGAAATCATTCACTGTCTCAAGGGCATGCTGCAGGAACTTCTTGAAAAATGTAAATCAGTTTTATTTCATTAACGGACTCATTTATCTAGTGAAATGTCCACTTTTATGGAAATTAAGTAGTGTGAAAAGACAGTAATATCATGAGTGACCAGAATAGAGTAACCCATTTCAAGGATAAGAGCGAACTGCCAAGTTTGAGGTCAACAGGGCACATGCTTAAATAGAAGCACTCCTCTTACAAGATTCTTTTTTTTTTAAACATAAGTTTAATCTTATATCCATTATCAAGTAAATTGCTATGGAAAGAAATAAGTTGAAGCTGGAAAACACCACTAATGTCGCTCACATGGGTGAACGGTGAAACAAATTGTGGTATATCCATACCATGGAAGCCTACTCAGTAACAGAAAGAATGAAGTATTGATACAACAACTTGGATGAATCTACAGAGAATTATGCTGAGTGAAAAAAGTCAATCTCAAAAGGCTACATACTACACAGTTTCATTTATATAACATTCTTAAAATGACAAAAATTATAGAAATGGAGCACATGGGATCTCTCTGTATTACTTCTTACAACTACATGTGCAACTAAAATTATCTCAGAATAAAAAAATTAATTAAAAAAATCACTAATATTATTTGGGTTACCTCAACCAAAAGCAGATTTAGGTAACATTCTCAGAAACTAGCAAGTATGCAAAGACTTCACCAGCAGGAAGAAAGAAGAAATAGCCAGAAATAGAAGAAAATGACAAAATAGCCACAGAAAAAGAAGTGTGAGAGAAAGCAAAGAAGAAAGTAGTATGGTTATTAATGAATATCTAATGAATATTTAGATATACTAAGGGACATATTAAATTTCACTCAGTATTTTTTTTGTGAGGAAGATTATCCCTGAGCTAACATCTGCTGCCAATCCTCCTCCTTTTTTTGCTGAGGAAGATTGGCCCTGGGCTAACATCCATGCCCATCTTCCTCTACCTCATATGGGATGCCGCCAAAGCGTGGCTTGACAAGCGGTGCGTCGGTGTGCGCCCGGGATCCAAACCTGCAAACCCCAGGCCACCGCAGCAGAGTGCATGCACTTAACCACTATGCCACCGGGCCAGCCCCAAATTTCACTCAGTATTAATTTGAGATGGAAAGCTTACCCGATGCTTTGCCTTAATTTTTTTCCTATATTCTTCTTTATCAAATTTGTCCTCTTCCTGAAGCCGTTCCTTTGCTTTATCTAAGTTGATACCACCAGTGTCCTCCTCTTCCTCAGTATCCTTCGAGACAGATTTCTGCATTTGTGGCCACTGCTGAACTAACTGCAGACAGGAAAAAGGTAAGTATGGGGTGGGAGACAGAGAACATCAACAGAAAACCATTTCCTTTTGTATAATGATTTTGAAATGGTGCGTATGTATACCCACTTTCTGCCTTACAACTTGTATTTCTCAAACTTTCTAACAAACTTTATAATTAAAGCGAGCAAGCCACAGAAAAGACTGTCCCAGTCAGGATAAAGTAATGCTGTCATAATCCAATAACAGCAGGATTAAAGGAAAATTTCATAAAATTGGAGGAGAAGGTAAATTGGAGGAGAAGGTAGCTGCTTCAACATCATGTCAGTGTTCATAGTATGCTCTACTCCATTCACTTGGCTCCGAATGATCTGCACAGGGCAGTAGCCAGCTGACCAGAGTGCAGCCCCGCCAGCTGCCATGGCACCTTCTGTGTACTTCCAACCCTTCTCTCACCATAATACGTTGTTTTACTTTCCTGTTTTTCTACTAGAATTAATCTCCTTGAGCGCAGTAGTCTACCTTGTTCTTGTATTCTCAGGCCCAACACAGTACCTGGCACATATCAGATGCTCACAAGTGATCGATGAATCACATTATCAGCTAGTACTATACAAAAGACTAAAATAACTAAGCATAAAGGAGAAAATTAGTCTGGATTTCATGGGCTTACTCAAATATACACAATTTTACACATACAGTTTATTGTAGGAACAAGGTACTATGAAGTCAGGGTACCGATCTGAGAGTCAGGGGACCTGACTTAATGTCCTGACTTTTTCACTAGCCCACTGCATAATCCTGAGTAAATTACTCAATCTCTGGGCATCTGTGTCTTTGACTCAATAATCTTCCAGGTCTAAAACTGTAAAATTAAGACAATTTAGACAAAACCTATTCTCTTATCTTATCTAATAACTGGTTGCCAAAAGCATTTAAGTAGCTACCACTGTTTTGAAAGACCACTAATTAACCAGCAGGCAAATTGAAGTTGCAGGCAAACACATCACAGGTATTAATGCCTCCTCTCACTCTTGTCACCACCATAGCCATTCTTCAAGATGAGACTCCTACAGAGTCTCAACTTTTGGCAATGAATGAGGGTCACAAATATTACCACATGAGCAGCCACGCTAGCAGTCACTGACACCGAAGAAGCAGTGAGAGCGATCAGTTGTGACAGTGAGAATGGCATCCATTGCTCTGATTCCTCACTCCTTTTTCCATCAGAGTGAAAAAAGTTCATCCCTCTGTGGGCCGAACGAATAATAGCATTTCTTTCAGAGTTTTAGATTCAAAAGTTTCAATGTAGCTCACAGCCACACAGGGCTCCTATCAGCAATAAGTTTACACTGAAACGTTTTATAGTTAAGGGTTTACACTCATCTTGGAGCTAATTTGTATAATCTGTGCAGTTAAATTTAGGAGCACAGGAAAGAACCTCTAACACTAATAACATTATACTAATAGTACTAATTTTATTTTACAATAAGCATCTGATGTAATGAAACTATATTCTAGTTTAGTGTGCTTCTCAGGTGCTGACCTCTTTTTAGTAATTTCATAAAGACTCATTACTTATCAGTTACATAGGCTTCCTCTGCAGCTTCCACCAACTTTGAATTGTACTGTTTGTTAGTTCTCACATAATTTATACACCATTTTACTCCATATTCTTAGTGCAAATCTGGCCTTCTGAAGCAAAGCCCCCTTCCCCAAAGTAACATCCAAATCTTTGTTAACTTCAAAATTAAAAGGAAACATACTCCATTGGATATAGACTACTTAGGCAGCATTTATATTAATGATGATGAAATATTTGATGTGATACATTATAGTCAGTATAAAAAGCTGTTATTTTTATTGGGATATTAGAAAATGGTTCACTCATTCAATGAACCTTTTCTGAGGGTTTACTATATGATAGGCACTATTCTAAGTCCTGGGGACAGAGCAGTGAGCAAAGTCAACCAATACATTCCCTCACTCCACTGGAGTGGAAGAAAAGGACAATAAGCAAATAAATATAGGCTGCAACGTCACATAATAAGTGCCATGAAGGAAAAAAAAGACAAGGCAAGGGAAATGAGATTATGGTGGGTGTGGGGTACTGTGTGCTGTATTAGGATGAACAAGGAAAGCTGTAGGTTGGTGAGTGTGAAACTAAGAGATGATATTCAGAAGATGCTGCTATGACTACTAACTAGCCATTACTCGTAAGTCACTTGACTTTCCAGATCTCTTTCTTCTTTAAAAACAAAAATAATATTATTATGTACTAGAGTGACCTTTCATGAGCAATCTGTGAATAGTAACCTCTTTCCTACTCTGTGGGCATTTATTTACACTAAGACCAAGGTAATGGTGAGATGAAAACCAGGCATCTATGTGTCTAAGATTTTTTTAAAGCAGAGAATTCCCTCTCACAGCCAGCCCAGGAAGAAACATGCCAGTAGCACTTCTAAAATTGATGAACTGCAAAGCAGAGACTTTTTTGAGTCTAGCAAAAGCAGCTGTGGCAAGTAGTTGTGTTACTATTCTTGCTCTTGTTCCCAGAGAACATCGATGGATATCATCACAAAAAAACTTAATCTATGAAAACATTTATAAAGTTCAAAACCATCTATGCGTCATTATCACCTAGAAGTACCTCGTTTATTGTCAGTAAGGCATTCTTGCCTACAGATGTATAGTTGATGAAATGCCTACAGCAACAGTGAAAGGAACTGCCTAGCATGCTTTACAGAAACTATTTTCTCATTAATGAATGGTAAGTCAGCAGGAGAGTCAAACTCCTTATAACACTTGGAACGTACCTCAGAAACGAAGCGTTTAAGAATCTTACCTCCCCTTCATCAGTAAATGTTATTTTCTTATTCACTTTAAAATTTCTCTTCATTACTTTTTTTGCTTCTGCGACCTTGGTCACTTTTCTCTTGACACTGGATTTAGATGGTTCTTTCTGCTGTGTGTGAATATACAAAAAACAGATGATTAGGTAAATGCTGCTTTATATTAACAATTTAACTCTGGCAATACACTTTCCAAAACTGAGTGCATTTACTGCTCTATAGCTAATGAGAAGCACCCAAAATACTGTCCAGAAATAAAATGATTAGACTTATTAACTACTTGTTAAACTTATTAACCCCAATGCTAAGGGGGTTTAAGTGTGAATAAGATCAATGTTAGACATAAACAACCTTTAAAATTTTTCTATTACTAAAACTATGCTGTCCTGATGTTGAAGCACCGGAAACTACATGACAATGTGACAAATGAACATGTAAGATAAATAAAGCTATCTTTCAGCTAAAAAATAGAGCATATTTTTAAAATAGCTCTAATTTACGAGTACAAACTTAAATTTTTAAACTAGGAAAATGATTACTTAGAAAGCAAAATGACTGCAATACATTGTTTGCGACTCGACATTCTTCCTCCCATTACAGTAATTTATTCTATGAACACTGGGAAACATCCTATGATAACTAAGCTGTGTCCAACGGTGAGGAGTTAAGAGTACTTTAACAAAATATACAGATCAGCACCTAGCTAATGTCCTAAAACCACTACTGCAAGATATTAAAAATACAAAGCCACTGCTTACTTATGCTAAGTGAATGCTGAGTGAACCATCTGAGATGGGGAGTTGCAGAGGTTCTATGCCTGCTTTGATGAGCGAGTGACAAGAAGTAACTCACCTTTGAGCAAGATTTGGATTATTTTCCTCAAATTAGAGCCAGTAGTACCACTGGTAGTACCTAGTAAACTAACCTGATGTAAGCTCTATTAGAAGAGTAGACAATATGAGTAAAAGTCTTTGGTGGAGTAGTTAAAAAAATGGATTTGAATTCAAGCTCTACCACTTATGAGCTGTGTAAGAGCAAGTTACTTAACCTCTGTGCTTTAGTTATAAACTGAGGGTAATAAAAGTACCTAAGTACCTATCTCACAGGGTGGTTGGGAGAGTTTAATAATAAACGTAAAACATACAAAATTTAAGTGTCTGATAAACCTCGAATACCACTATTACGTATAAATTTCATTCCACCTAAAGAGATCGTGCCAACTGTATAGAAGCTAAATTTGCAAAATCTCAGACTTTAAGCTTCCCAGCTGATTTGTTTTTTAACTCTGTACCACAGGGAACTACCCAAGGAAAAATAAGAAAGGAGTGACTGATCTAGGAAACAAGAATTATCAGAAGATTTAAGAAGACACACATTAGTTGCAACTGTTACATTATAGTAATAAATATGCACAAAAAGAACAATTCATTTAATAAACTATTATTGATATTGATGAATACAAAAATGCTTAATAAAACACCATAAAATCAAAACCAACAAACTTACTAAAATAGAGGTTTGTGAAAAGTGATTAATAAATTATATTTTTAGATTGATAATGGTTATTATGAAAATCAGTTAGTACATCTGCAATAATATTATGATTTAAGTACAAGAAAGTTGTTTTGAGGGCCGGCCCCATGGCACAGTGGTTGAGCCTGGCACACTCTGCTTTGGCAGCCTGGGTTCACAGTTTCAGATCCCCGACACAGACCTACACCACTCATCAAGCCACGCTGTGGTGGCAAGCCATATACAAAATAGAGGAAGAGTGGCACAGATGTTAGCTCAGGGCTAATCTTCCTCGAGCAAAAAAAAGAAAGGTTGTTTTGACACCAATGGTTCCATTATGTGGGTATTACTAACACTGTTTTTGTATTTCTGGTTCTTAGTACACACAAGCTCTAATATCTAATACATTTATTTCTCAAACCACAAATCAAGTCATACTTAAGAAGTTACAAGGATTTTAAATCCATAAAATGCTTATGAAAAAATTAATCTCCTCTGAGGTAATTAATTTTTATTACATCAGAGAGAGACATCAATATGCTACAATCACTATATCTACACTGCACAAGATTTCTATGAAAAGAGATTAAGTTTGTTTTATGTTTTTTTTTAATTTTTTGTTTATTGCAGTAACATTGGTTTATAACATTGTATAAATTTCAGGTGTACATCATTATACTTCTATTTCTTCATAGATTACATCATGTTCACCACCCAAATACTAATTACAACCCATCACCACACACATGGGCCAAAATATCCCTTTCGCCCTCCTCCCTCCCCCCTTCCCCTCTGGTAACCACGAATCCAATCTCTGTCTCTGTGTTTGTTTATTGTTGTTATTATCTACTACTTAATGAAGGAAATCATACGGTATTTGACCTTCTCCCTCTGACTTATTTCACTTTGCATCATACCTTCAATGTCCATCCATGTTGTCACAAATGGCTGGATTTC